TTGGAACGCATTAAACGAAGTTTAATGCGTTCCAATACATTTCCCCTACCCGTTTAGCGATGATTCCATATAGCGAGGGATAATACGGAACGGATTAACCTCGCTATACGGGGCACCACTGTACTTGTACTTGTCCTCCGCACTTCCTCAGTAACATGTTGGATGCCTTTCGACCTGAGGGGCCCATCTTTTGTTTCTGATCATGGGGCATTCTTGGCAAAGATACTGGAGTGGCATTGCCAATTCCTACTCCAGGTGGATTGTGTTTAGTCGGAACTCTCCACTATGTCCTGTCCGTCTTGGGTGTCCCTGTACGGCATAGCCCATAGCTTCCCTGAGTTACTCAAGCCCCTTCGCCACGACAAGGCAGCAGTTCGTGAAAGGGATTTGTTCTTTAGTTGTATATAACTTTTCTTGGTGTTGTGAATGTGGACTATTTATGCAATGATTATTGGCAGATTTAATGTTCAGAGGGGTGAGTGAGCAGGCCAGGTACTTGATTTGTGAAAAGCTATGGTTTCTTGTTTTAGGAAAGTGCCACTGTGTACTTTTTTCCATTTGTTTTGCAGTGCATTGTTTTTAAAATCAGAACTCAGAAGAATTGATTTTTTAAATTACAACTGCCAGTGAACCATGACTTAGAACATGTACAACTCCCTGTGGCCATGCTGCCTAGGGGATTTCGCAGATTGTAGTCCCAGAAAGTAAATTACTGAGTCAGACATAAACCAAAATGCCTTTTATTAACTAATTTTAACCATTGAAAAAGCATCTGTTTGTCCTTAGAGTATTTAGTTGGAAGATATTATTATAACACCTTGGAATAGTATAATTATATTGATGCTTATGTCAGCACTGAAAATTATCGAGTCATCTAAGAACTTGATCCTACTGCCTAAGATGTTTGGAATGTTCTAATACTTAATTTTTTGCCAATTATTAAATTTATGAAGGGGAGAGGCAAAAGTTGATGGCTTCATTGTAACTAATGTTTTGTAATTTCAGTACATAATGTTATGTTTTTTATATGAACATTATAAGCAGTTTTAAAACAATCATAGATGTTGCATGTTGACAAACTGTTTGAGTTCAATCTAGTCCTAGTGAATAGACCATTTTAATTGAATGGGAATTACAGCTAACTATCTGGCATTCTGATCAGTGGCAGAGCAGAATACTCTATCATTGGAATTTCACTGGCTTTGTAGATGGCCATTGTGCACATGTGCAGTTACAGTAGTCCAATTTGCAAATTCCATTTGCACATGGATCTAGTGCAGTGCTTCCCAACTGTGGATAATTAAGGTATTCTTGGACTGCAGTTCCCAGAAGCCTTCACCACCAGCTGTACTGGCTGGTATTTCTGAGACTTGCAGCCCAAGAACACCTGGTGATCTAGTGTATACCTCTTTAAGTGAGGAAAGGAAAAGCCAGACTACTTGTGCAATGGTCCATTTACTTCAGCTCATTAATTCAGTAGGTCTGTTCTAGATAGAACTACTTTGGATTTAACTATTGATTAATTAATACATTGCTTTGGACTAAAAGTTTATAAAATATTAGCAAACTTGTATTTTGATTTTGTCATTGTTTTTAGGAGTTTACATGTTGAATGCGAATTTAACGGCTCGTCATACGGATCACTGCATGGATAATAAATGGCCCTTCCTCGCTTAACAGGAGCGTTGCGTTCTTTTTCAAATGTCACTAAACAAGATGATTATAATGAAGAATCTGCTGACTTAACGGTAACTTTTCTCTGTAAAACTTAAATAGTGGAGAAATCTTTAGTGCCTTGATTTACTTAAAATGTTTTTCTCAATAAGATCATGGACAATGCATTTGTTGCTTTTTTAAGAAGTTTGTATAAGAGAGACATAAGACGTTTTGACAGTGGACATGTTGTAATTAGAGACGGGTATATTTGTATAATGAGGGTCTGGCCCCCGGGACTGGACGGTCCACTCATGTGTTCCACTCATCCTGCCAATGGCATCCGGAGGTCTGCTGTCTTCCTACTCATCTGAACACTCAGCAGCCATTCAGGGAAACTTGTCATCCTGCTCCCTGCCTGGAGTGTCCAGCCAAGCAGGAAGACAGTGGAGCTCTATGCACCATTTGCAGAATGAGTGGGAACATAGCTGTGGGAGGGGGGAATGCATGAGTGGATGGTTTAGTCCTGGGGGCTTCATTAGGGCCAGCTGGGGCAGGGATATTTTTATTCATATACATGCATGTGTGTCAGTGGGTGTGCGTGCATGCGGGGGGTGGGTGGATCTATGCGTGCACACATGTTCCTTCAGCCCTCAAAAATGTGGAAAATATATGATGTGGCACTCACGATGAAAAGTTTGGAGACCCCTGATGTAGAGTAATCTTTTGCCATACTGCAGCTTTATTAAATGGTCTAATTCCTGATCTTGGGAAGTATATGTAAAGGCTGGTTCTTACAGCCTTTTGATTTCTTTGTAAGTACTGAGATTGTGCCGCAAGGAAAAAGGAAGTCTGACAATTCTAACCAATGGGAGATGAAACAAAAAAATAAAGTAGCAGAGATAATGATACAACTTTAGAAAAGTTATTGCTAGCCAATCACATCTCACTTCAAGATAAACTGAAAAGAAGCAAATTGGTGTCTAGCAATTTGGTACTAAGATGCCATCTACGCCTACACATACTCAAGCACTTCAGGCTGATCCTGATTTCAGTCACATCAGTATAAAGCTAGAGTAACCCTTCTGATTTTACACTTACACCATTTTTTTCATCACTATAACTAGTACATCAGTTTGGCCCTCTCTTCCCATGTCATTTGAAACAGTGCACTTACGTAACTAAGTGAACCATTAAAAGAGATTCAGTTCTCTGAAACAAGCATCAGCAACAACTAATATAGGATAAACTGAAGGAACATTCTGTACAGCACTTTAATGCATTTTTCTTAAACAAACTCAATGCATGTTAGAGAAGACTTCAAATGCTGGTTATATTTAATAAAAATCAGGACATATAGCTCTTCTAGCTGCCACTAGATTTTTTAAAAAATTCTACTTGGTATAGTACACAACAGTGAGGCTAATAAAGAGGTTGGACTTATCCTGAAATGTGCAAGTGTTAATGTCTTGTTTCTTTTAGTTATCCTAGCCTTGAGAACAGTTGAAAGCATTTGAAAAAAGGGGACTGACTGGTAAAATTGAGGGTGAAATAAGTAAGAGAGAAGAATTTAAAAATGAGGCCATCACTGCAGTACAGAGAAAAATATGATTAATAAATGAAATAGCATATTTGGTCAGTGTATTTCACCTTTTTGATTAGGAGAGAGGGCTGTGGGACAGAAGATGGATCAGAGAAGAATGTGGAAGAAGATGTCTTGGCACAACACATTTAATCAGAAGATGACTCATGAAATGTCTTGCCATGCACTAGAGGTTAAATCAGATGGACATAGATTAACTTGCACACAGCTGCATATATGTCCAGCCCTTATCATTTTAATTATGGTATTAATTGTATGTTTTATGATAGTCTATAAAGGGAATCTAAGCTTAATCTTTCATGACAATGGGCATTGTTCTGACTTTAAGCCCCTTCTGTATTATTTGTATTCTAGGTGGTGGTGATGACAATAAAAGGCAATATGAATAGCTGCTTAAAGCTATAATTCTCTGTCCATAACAGCATAGGCTATTGAAATAAACAGGACTTACTTCTATATAGATATGTATTTGGTTGCACATCATCAGTCCTCTTTTCATTCCTGATTTATTATTCTCAAAGATTCCTTCTGTCAGCAACATTTAGTATTTCCTACTGTAGGCATTTCCATGAGAATCTTGTATAAACTGAAGAATATGTGCAGTTTATTACATAGTGACTTTGAAAGCCATTTTGCATGTTATTTTCTTAGGTGTAAACTAGTGATGGCTTGTATATGGATTGCATGTATTCTCCCAGCTGTTTTGAGTTCTCCCACAGTTGCCCCCAATATTAATATAGTGGTAGAAAAATGAATTTCATTTTGATGCCAAAACAAGATATTTGGAGAGAGTGTACCATACCTTAGAGTAAAATTGTTCTCCTTGAAGATTCTGAGAAGCAGTGTTTATTCTAAAATAAGGCACCTGTTCCTGAGCACCTACTGTTATTTGCTAAATATGCTTTTTGTTGACAAACTAAAAGTGGCTATTGTAGAAGAAGGAATTTAAGTGGGAGACTTGAGAGGCAGACAGTGAATAAATATGTAAGTTCCACTGTTTAACTTCAGACTTAGTCAGAGACTGGAGCTTGTTTGTACACTATATATATGAATAAGCTGATTTTTACTGTAGTTTTGTGTATGTCCAGCCAGTTGTTTTCTCTGGCAAGACACTATCAACTTTTTATTGAGAACAGAATTCATGGCTTCATAATTTCAGTGACAAAAATCTAGCTGTTGTATATTAGCCTATAAATGCTTTGCATTAAATAATTACCTGATACTAGGTGTTTATCTAATTAACTCTTAGACTGCTCATTGCTAGTGCTAAAAATGTGGTGGTCATTTCTGTGTCCCATTTCTCTCAATATAGCTTCCCAGATCTATGTACAGTGGGGTCTTGACTTGAGAACTTAATCTGTATTGGAAGGCGGTTCTCAAGTCAAAAAGTTCTCAGGTCACATCTGCATTTCCCATAGGAATGCATTGAAAACCATTTGATCCGTATCTGCTCTTTTCCGTCCATAGAAACTAATGGGAAGCTGCTATTCTGCCTTCGACCACTGGAGGGGGATATTTTGTTTCTTTTTTTCTTAGGTCAAGAAAGGTTCAGGAAAGGCAGGGAAAATACAGTCCAGGCAGTCCAGTACCAGGCAGTCTGAAGACTGTCTCCCAATCCGCTCTCTAAACGCTGGGAGGAGTGAGGAAGTAGACAGGCACCCTTTTCACTGCCCAACAGTTAACTGAAAGTTCAAATTTTGCACTTTCCCTGCCTCCCACGTGGTTTTTTTTTTTCAGTTCGTAACTCAAATCTAAGTATGTAAGTCAAGTCAATATTTTCCTATGAGAGTGGTTCTTAAGTCAAAATGTTCTTAACTTGAGCCGTTCTTAAGTCAAGACCCCACTGTATACTGTTCGTATAAACCTATGGACTCTAATGTGCTCCGTGGGCCTGAAGAAGTAATCCATTAAAGCTCACCTTGAAGTAAATGTGTTAATCTCAAAGGTCCCACAGGACTTTGGGAAAAATTATATGCTTTCAAAACATTTTTACACCTGGAGCAGTATAATAGGTAGTTTGATTTTTAAAATTTCCTGTGTAGAAGATCAATTTGTTCAAGGAAAACACTGTTTTTTAGCTACTTAACAAGCACTAATGTTTGTGTTCAGAATAAAAGGTTTAAGTTACAAGAACAGTTATCGAATTCCGGTCTTACTTGGAAGAAAATAGTCAAATTTGTTGATGACAATTCCAGCAAGGAAAACCAGCCATCTTTACATGAGGATTTAAAGATAATAGTACAAGCTGCCAAACAAATAGGTAAGTGATAATTTAGAATTGTTCTTGTTTTATATGGTTCTTTTAGCTGTGTAGAATTATGGTTCTGGCTGTCATAGTAATAGCTGAGTACAGATTTCCATGTCCTCCACTCCATAGGAATGAAAGGTAGAGACTGTGAGTGTGGGAGTTTTATCACAGTTTTATCAAAACTGCAATTCTATTTCCCAGTTTTGCTACCTTTTTATTAAGCTGTTGGTCAACAATGTTGTAGTTCTCTCTCTCAATCCTGCCACCTGCTTAAAGTTAAATATCTTATTATGTCTTTTACCCAATGGAAACGTAGAGGAACAGTTAACAGGTGATCAATGTGTTTTTTCTACCCTTTCCAACCTTGACTAGCAGTTGGTGGGTGCCTCTTATCCCAGATTGTTTAGTAGGTGAACAGTTTGAACAATAAAGTAACATCCTATGAAAGGAGATTAATGAGTGATATCACATGTTGTGCCAGACCTGTATCTTTAAGAGAAAAGCTTAAATGGCAACTCCCTCCCCTTTGTGAACAATGTCCTTAGAGATCCAGTTAGAACTTGTTGGGAAAAGTTTTAGAAGAGGTTGCTATGGCATTCTGTGCTAGCATATCAGGTAAATAAAAAAAAACACAAAACAAAATAAAACAAAATCACCGTAGCACCTTAAAGACTGATTGCTGTATTTTAATGTCAGCTTTCATGGATAATGGTTTTAGGGACGTGGTGGTACTGCAGGTTAAACTGCAGGAGACACTGTGCTGCAAGGTGAGAAGACCAGCAGTTGTAAGATAGAATCCACGTGATGGAGTGAGCTCCTGTCGCTTGTCCCAGCTCCTGCCAACCTAGCAGTTTGAAAGCATGTGAAAATGCGAGTAGATAAATAGGTACCACCATGGTGGGAAGGTAACGGCGTTCTGTCTCTAGTCACACTGGCCACGTGAACACAGAAACTGTCTTTGGACAAACGCTGGCTCTATGGCTTGGAAACGGGGATGAGCACCGTGCCCTAGAGTTGGACACGACTGGACTAAATGTCAAGGGGAACCTTTACCTTCATGGACAAGTCCACTTCCTCAGATATATGCCACAGTGTTTTTGTCTTCTTTGTTTTTTACGTTTCTTTTGCTTTTTCCTGGTTGGGATAAGTTGCTCTGCTTTGTACAGTGAATCCAAAGAGTCAAAGTTGCTGTTAATTCTGTTTTTCATTTATTTCTTCAGTGGCTCTATTTTTTTTCTCTTCAATAATTCAGTAAAGACAGACCACCATTCCAGCACCAGTGTCTGTATGTTTAAAAGTTTCAAAGGCCAAAGAAGTTTTTGAGAGATAGAAACAATTTCTGCCTAAGGAATGTTGTTGTCAAACCTATACCCCCAAAGCAAGAAAATTCGGAGAGAGATGACCTTTCTTTTCCATTTGTATTGATAACAAGGGAAAATCTAGCATCATAATATCCATCCCAAGTTATAAAAATGTTTCTGATCAACAAGGTGAGAGGGTGATCTGTTTTCTGAACATCTGTGCTATTGAGGGTATATCTTCCATTCTCAATTTTTTTGGCTTTAAATGAACATTTCCTTCTATTCTGAGAGGTAATTCTAGACAGATCAGGAGATCAGCCTTGTGAACCAAATTTAAACGTGGAGAAGTTGGGAGGTGACTCTATGGAACACCTTAGCTTAATCTGCAGAAGCTACTTGTGTTAACTGGTATTTTAACAGACTGTTCTTTATTAGGGAATGGCCAGTGCAGCTAGATGTTGTTCTGCTTTGCCTAGAAACACTATTACATCTTGTCAATATCATGTCAGTAGCCTCCTCAAAAACCCATAGCTTTCAAGAGAGATGTACATTTTTGTACACTTAATATGTGTATGCATGAGCATATCTTCTAATCTGCTTCATATATATGATGGATTTGTTACAGTAAAAAAAATCATGGGTAAACTGTAATAGCAATTTTAATTGTTGTGGACTAGGTCACTGATGGTAGCTGTGAATTGTAAGTTTTGTTGTTTTGCCTTGCCTTATATATCACCCCATAGTACTAGAGCAGTAGTTCTCAAACTTGCGTCCCCAGATTTTCTCGGACTGTAACTCCCTAGAAATCCTACCAAGTACAGCTAGTGGTGAAAGCTTCTGGGAATTGCGGTCCAAGAACATCTGGGGATCCGTTTGAAAACCACTGTTCTAGAGCACTCTCTGGGTGGTTTACAACATAATTATGCAAGGAACACTTTGTCCCCCACCATCCCACCCCAGTAAGCTGGGTTCTCATTTTACTAACCTTGGAAGGATAAAAGGCTGATTCAACCTTGAGCTGGCTATCTGAACCTGTTGAGACTGAACTCTGGTCATATAAGCAGAGCTAGGCTGCAATACTACAGTTTAACCACTGTTCCACGAGACTCTCTTGCTCTTGAATCACCTCCAACTTACGATGACCATATGAATAATTGATCTCTAAAATGTTTTGTCCTCAATAGCCCTCTCAGCTCTTGTAAAGCTGTGGCTTTCCTTATGGAGACAATCCATATCATATTTTGTCTTTCTCTTTTTATGCTGCTTTCGGTAGTGAAAGTGTTAGCTGCAGAAAATATTCTGTTAAATAGAAATACTAGGTCACTGTCCAACTTGTAATTCAAGTCAAATAAAAGTTCTTATTCAAATTAACATTTGTATTCTTGTTGCTCTATTTTCAGTCTCATAAAATAAAGCATTGAACTAAATATGTCAAAGATATGAAAACTGAATTTTTTAATCTAGAGCCTTACCTTGACTACAAATAAAAGTAAAAGACCAAAATATATATAAATTTTTTTTTAATTTTTTTCTGTCTTTTCAGCAAGGTAGACCGTGTAACATTTGCTTAAGTTCTGAAATTTGGACTTGTCTTTTGTGCTAGTTTGGAGACCCCACATCTTATTTTGGCAAAAGGTCCAAAGTTTGTAGCTGTATGCAGATATCTTGGGAGTGTTGGAAAAGTTTTGCAAAGCCTGCTGATTAATCTATATATTAAAAGGAAGAGCCTAGCCAGTAACTGCTCCCTGCCTTTATCATACCGGGGGGTGGGGGGTGGGAAGAGACTCTTCAGCAGTATTGCACTTTCTGTCTGTCTTATTTAGAAGGGTTCCAATGGAGAGGTATGGCACTATTCCTGCCCAAACTCCTTATCCCTACATCAAAAGTTCCCTGCCCATTCTAGCACATTACGGAGAGGTCTTGGCAGACTCTTTGTTTTGATATATTAGTTCAGTACATGTTAGGAACTGAAGTAGAAGTGTTAGAGAAGTATGATCTCTTACTTTGTCCTCCCTCAGTAGCATTCTTGTAATTATATTGTTTGATACATCAGTCTTCGTAGCATATAGATTTGATCTAAGAAAGTGGATTTGCTTCTTCAGTTTCCTAGGATTTCATTCTTGGAGGCAGTTTATTCTGAAGGCTAGATTTTTCCTTTCTGTTTCTTTGCTTCAGGGATGAAGAAACTGTGGCAACTCACTTTATGTCTAACAATTGACTATGCTGGCGAGAACACATGGGAGGTTATGCCAAGCACCATCAGTAGGTTCACAGGTTCAGCACACCTACTTTAAGGACTTACTAGATGGTTACAGAAGCAGTCAGATGTAGCTTCAGTACAAAAAAATGGTTAGTATGTAGAGATATCATGTTTTCCTCTTTCGTTTTCTGTACAGTGGGAACTGAAAATGGACAGGAAGTGATTGAAAGTGGTGCAGTTTTCCTTTTTACAATATTCCACACAAAGGACTATGTTGGCCATGAGGAGACCAAAGTCATCAAGCAGATGTTTGGGCCCTTTCCATCATCTTCTGCTACCGCTGCCTGTGATGCCACCTGCCGGATTGTTTCTCACTTTACCGAAGAACAGCTTGCTGTCCTTCTGCAGATGTCAGAAGAGCGAAATGGTAACACAAAACTGTGTTTTGGTAAAAACATTGCCTTTTCGTTTGATATGTTTGATTTGGATTTCTTTGAAGAACTGCCAGTAAATGGTGAAACGGAAGGACAGGAATTTGTGACCTTGGATTACAAGAAATTTCAGAATAACCATTTGGAACACTTCTCAAACTGCTATGATGAAAGCTCTGGCTTAAAGTCACCAGAAAAAGTGGACGATTCATTTCTGTGGTGTGAGGTTGGGAAATACCTGAACGAATCATTAAAGGGATCTTCTGGAGGTCCAGCAGTGGAACATCTTTGCTGTACATTATATGAGATGCTTGCTTCACAAAGAAGTGGTGATGAGCTTCAGAATGAGGTATGATACAAATAAATGTCCACAGTATTCATGTAGTTTTAATATGAACAGCTTAATAAGTAGCTTGAATATACAGGGTACTTGAGTACAAGTCATTTGCCCAATAGGGCTTTCCCACTCTCCCACTGAAATATCTGTGATCCCACAAATGCATTTTCTGAGGGCCAAGAACCTCCTTGGAAAAGCTCATAAAATGGAAAAGAGATATTTAAGAAAGTTCTTTGCAAGAAATGTGCTGCTCTTTAAAGTGCTCTATGAAACAGTTCATCTGGATATGGCATGAGGGTATTTTAAGGAAACGTTTCTACCTATTTATTGTGGAGTGATAGTACCTCAGCTTGTTAGAAAAGTTGCAGTGAGATAATATATAAACTGTAGTCAGTTCCTGTTTTTAATGCAAATCAAATGACATTTTGAATCAATTGAAAATGTTAATGGAATTCATAGATACGGGAAGATTGGTCCCACACTGAATGTGATCTTGAGTTTGTTATTCCTATTGCTTATTCCATTTGGCTTACTGTGCAAGAGAGGGCAGTTTGGGATTTAATTATGGGAAGACTGCTCTATAGCACCACCATGTGTGATCTGTCACATCTAGAAGAAACTCAGAAATTGGCAGGGCAAAATAAAGGTGTCTTGTGAAGAAAATCCAGCTACCTTTTTGTTGGAAGAATACAAGAGGAGTTAGAGCTAGAAAGCTGTTGTAGGGAAATAATCTGTTTCTCAAAATAGTGGCAGTGAATGCAAAAAGCACAAATTTGATTTAAAGAGCCCCAAGGTATGATAGTAATAATAGCTGCACAGTAGTGCAAATATGTTTTTTGCTGTAGAGCAAATCAGCATTCTACAAACTAAAAATATGGGCAGCCTAGGTAAATAATTAGAACTTTGGAATGGGACTTCAGATCAGCACCAAAAGTGGTGCCGATGTAGTGGTCAGTCTGCTCTTCCTCTGTGCCAGATTTGGAGAAGATGGGCAAAGGGTTTTTGAGTTACAATGTTTAAAAACAAAACTGTTCCCTCCTGTGCAGAAAGAAGCAATCCTAAATGTCCCCAGATTTAAAATAGTTCATACAAATTGAAAAGACCAGTCATGTTTATCTTGAAAGAGAATGGTCCTTCCCACCTGCTTTTTTTATTTGGAAAGAATCTAGGCTGCAGGGGTTGAAATACTGATCCTCAAAAAAAGGCCTTTCAAATGGGAAAAACAACCACTCTGTTTTAAGACTGAGCATGTGTAGAATAGGCTTACCACTAAGAGCATTGCAAAGTAGATACATTGTTGCAACTTTGTGATATCAGGTTAGTTCCGCTAATGCCTGAAACCAAAGCTGTTTTTGCTTCTGTCCTCTCCCAGCAACTATAATACATATCATGTGCATATCTTCTGGGATCCTCTAACACTAGGTAATTCTCTGAGGGAAATTTCTGTTTGAATTTGTGTGTAGCATATGTATACTTAAACTTATGTTTTAAGAAGTAGACATGTTCTAGATGGGCGGTATATAAATCTAATAAGTAAGTAAGTAAGTAAGTAAGTAAGTAAGTAAGTAAGTAAGTAAGTAAGTAAGTAAGTAAGTAAGTAAGTAAGTAAGTAAGTAAGTAAGTAAGTAAGTAAGTAAGAAAGAAAGAAAGAAAGAAAGAAAGAAAGAAAGAAAGAAAGAAAGAAATTCAGTTCTTTAAAAACTCTCCATTTTAAGAATGTGTGATATTGTGCTTCTTTATCTATGATTCAGAACGCCAGGAAATGGCCTGATATTGCTGCACAATACTGTGCCTGTGTTGCCAACAAGAAAAAGGCTGCCAAGCTTTACATAGCAAAGGGCAACCTGAATGTTGACAACACCCACAGTAACATTGAAGGTGGTCTACGGAATACCCTATTGTGCTTATTAACATTTAGTAGCTGCCTATTTAATATTTGGTGATGTCATATCTTTTTGCATCAGCAGAAGTGACCACTTTGCTTGAACCGATGCTGATTTGCATTGGTTTGTACATTTTGTAATCCGTGGAAAATAATGCGAACCTGAGCATCCCAGTTGAAGAGATTTTCCTTATTTTTCAGTGTAGTTGCCCTCTCAGATTGGAGGAAGTCTCTTTTTAAAGGAGACTTTTATAAGCTTCCAAATACAAGGGATGTGGCTCTGACAATTTCTTTGTTGTTGGTGGGGCGGGATTTCTGTGCTGCTGGTTATCAAAGTAAGTTTACAATTCTGATGGAACCAAGGTTGTTGGCTTCTTCAGTGTGTAGTGTCATTTGAGGAAGATCTGAAACAGCAACACAATCTGGAGAGGCTGTTCTATACTGCCTTCTGTGAAACACATGCATTTGTTTGTACAGTATACATGTGATGTATTATATACTGCTTTTTGTATGAGATACAGAGATTCATCTTATGTTTTTGTCGTATATTTATTGTCTTTGTATGTAATACAGTAAGTATTCAATTTTTTTTCCAGTGTTTGTTAAATGGCATTGTTAGAATCATGACTACGTTTGGTTTGGCTCGCTCTTGCTGTTGTAGAACCTTCTCTTTTGATGGCTTAATTAAATTTGCAATTCAGCTCTCCAGCAAGTGGTAATGAAGGAGGCTAACAACAAAAATTAAGTATTGTGATATGCGAAATAAAAATTTAAAAAGTGAAGCAAATAGGACTCGATTAAAATGCATACAAATGAGGTTAAAACAATATATGGTAGTTATACAGGTCAGCTTCATTATCAAAGATTTGTATTTGTTTATTTGCCTTTGGCTTAGCTAAGCAAAACTGTGAACCTGTTTGTGTCCATAAAACTTTTGTGAAGATAAAATGAGATAGAGATGTTCCATGGACCCGCTCCTTGGTATAAATCAACAGAGTACTTGCAAACTTAAATTCCTGTGTGAGTTCTCTTCTATTTTTAAAAAATAATTAAATGCCCTGTGAGTTATAGGAGGGGAACGATAGCAGTATAGTTGTAGTAGATGACTCAGGTGTACCTATTCCACCCTAAACCACATAAATGACAGTTTGTGTCCAACAACTGAGCTTTGACAGTCTCACTGTTCTATTTGTTTTCTTTTCTATTGGTCTGTTCCCTAGTTACAGGCATGTTACTGTTCCTTCTGATTTAGTAATCTGATATACAATAGGGCCCTTTTATCTGCAGGATCAGTATCCACTGATTCACTTAACCACAATCTGAAAATATTAATTCAAAGAAAATATATATTTTTAACAATGAAGTTACCAGAACTGGCTGATAGAGGGAGCCAGGAACCATGCTATGTATAACATTCGCTATTAAAATACCACTCTGTGTTTTTCAGCATCCGCAGGGGCTTGGAACCAATCCCCTGTGAATAAGGGGGAGGGGGGTTCTATGGTAAATTCTTTTTCCAAAGAAAAATTATCTCAATTGCATATTCCTTTCTTCATCACTTGTTGGGACAAAGCTATCTGTGATATATTGTTTTTGGCTATCAGGTTTATTCATATTTGATATATCGATATTGATTATAGGAGCATGACTTGGAAGGCTCATTAGGGGACACTAGGATTTTTAAAGAAAAATGTATAGCAAATATTTAGATACAAATTAGATAAGATGATATCGGCATATCCTTGTATTACTCACTTGCAGGCCCAGGTGCAGGCAATCATGTTAAATATTCAGCTCTGGAAAAACCTCTGTGTTATGAATGTGGGGTATTATGCTTCAGTATCCATGATTGAAAACACCAAAAAATGGCCCAATATTGTGCCCTCATTGTCAGCAGGAAAAAGGATGCCAAGCTTTACATACCAAAAGGCATCCTGCATGTTGATGTCACCAATGACAGCAGTTAAGATCATCTACAAGGCACCCTCTTGTATTCATTACCATTCACACATGTCAAAAACCAGACATGATAATTGCTTTATGTTTGGATGAGAAATGGGTAGCTCATGAAAAAGGAGTCAGCTTCAGGGATTTTTCCGTGCTTGGTATCTCTTTGTGAATGGTGGTAAACACAAGAGTGTATCTTGTAGACACCAGTGGTTCTTAATGTTTTTGAAAGAAACAACCCCTTGAGCCATTGAGGAAGTTATCATTGCCCCCCTCCCTGCAGGGGCGGCGCGGCGGCACTGCGGGGAGGGGGCGATGATAACTTCTGAACGGCAGCGGCGGCAGCAGCACCACATGCGCTGCCAGCACCAGTTGCTCTGGATCTGGCGGCGTGGGGACGGGGGGCAATGATAACTTCCTCAATAGCGGAGGCGGCGTGGTGGCTCCATCACCCCCTATTGCCCCCTTCTGTTCCTTTGCTCCTGTGTCATCCCTTTTCATTCCATTGCCACCCTCAAAAATGAAATTGCCCCCTGGGGGGGGCAATATCGCCCAAGTTAAGAACCACTGTTGTAGACCATCTTGACTGCTACCAATAGTGCTGTGAATATTCAGGCTGATCTTTGGTATGTAAAGCTTGGGATTCTTTTCCTGCTGGCAACATGGGCATGATATTGTGTAGCAATACTGGACCATTTCCTGGTGTTTCAAAAGAGTAGCATGATATCCCAAATTCATGAAACAGAGGGTTTTTTGAATAATTGAATAAAGATTTAAGCCCAGTTGATATCATATATGTATGTATCTAGATACTGTACATATGTGTGTATGCTTATTTGGAATAGTTGATGCTTGGGAGAAACAAATGATTTTCTTCCCACATTAAGCTCTCTTGTGTTAGTGTATGGACCTTCAGTGAAGTTCCAGTAAATCTCCCAAGTTTTTTAAATAAAGTAGTAAAACAGAGAACATTTTAAAAGATGAATAGCTTCTGAATTACTGTATAATAGCATTGTAATTTGACTGCAGATTAACTTGATCCATGGGGTGTTATTTGGAGAACGGGATGGTTATTTGTTGTTTTGTTCTTAGTATTGCCATTGATTTGGAAATGTAGTTTTCAATATTTTATGTACAGGGCAGTCTTTTGATTTGTTTGGGAGCAAACTCATTCCTGTCATCAGGATATGTTTTTAAATACAAGAAGGTGGTTGGATAGGCTCACAGCCAGGAACAATAGTTGATGTGTTAGACTACTACATATTAAATATATGGTTCTGATAAATTCCTTGGTGCAGATTGTATCTGATATGTTTGAAAAATGGGCTTCAGAGCAACAGGAGGATCATCTCCATCTGGCAGTTTGCTACAGAAAAAACAACAAGTATGACTGAAGAAGATGCATGATGTCACAGTTAACCAATTGGCAGGGAGGCAATTGAAGCTTAGTTCAGCTAGACTACTTAGAAGGCAGTTTATCCATCCATTTATCTAGAGTCCCATGATTCAGGTCTTCTTTCTGAGAGTCTGGACTGCCCTCAGTTCAAAAGATGTATGCATTTTGGTGTCTTAAAAGATGGCTGCTTATCACTTCTTTTCAGAAAGAGGATACTCTTTAATTTGATTTGGGATGTAAGGTGAGCTTGGGGAGAGTTTAGGGGCGATGAACTCTTTGAGAAAGTAGAGCAAGTATAAGCACATATAGCCTGTGGGTTGTATGTAGCTCCCTGAGCCATTTTCAATGCTGTCTCATGCACCCCAGGCTGCCAAGTCACCCTCCGTTTGCTCCAAACTTCCCTTGGGCCCTCTAGGGGCCATGAGGGCAATTTTGCTGTCTTTTCAGGGGTTTCCCATACCCTGGGGCCACCTGTACCCTATTTATTTTGCTCACTGTTTAATTAAGTTTTTTGTTAAAAACCTTTCAGTTAACAAAAATCCATCGTAGCATCTCTTACAGTACATGTTCATTACATTAGTTCTAAAGATTACATTAAATATGGAATTTTCCAGTTCTCCTTGAGTGAGAAGCTCTTGGACTGCTTGCAGATCAGAAAAATGTCTTTCACCTTTTCTGAGATCACACACTCCTGGAGTAGAAGAATGGGTAAAATCATAATAAGGTTTTAATGCTTTGCATCTTTAAAAAGTTTTTCTTTTGCATTTATTCTCATTGATTTTAGGAGTTGCATTTTGTTATTACAGTAAATACAGATGGAGCTTCTTCCGTAAAGAAGTGCCATAACCAGAGAGAAATAAATCTTTTACTTGTGCAAATGTAGGCTAAATACTGTTCTGGAACATGTGTTTTAAAGGGAAATTAAAAGGTGTGAACTCTTGACAGCTTTTTGTATTTTCCAAATTGTAACACACACAAATGCTTGAAAATCCAGCATGTGCTCTTGTTTACAACAGTGGGAAACTTGGGTTTTAATTGTCTCAAACCAGATGCTTTAAAATCTTGCTCTCCAGCCCATCCATGTTCCCTGCTGGCATAACACTCTCCAATGGCATCCAGGACTTAGTTTCTTGATATTAACTGCTGCCCTTTCTCTAAATGGATCAACATCTTAGACTTCCAGATGCCTTCCAGCTGCTGCTTTCTTTCTGTTTGAGCCAGAACCAAAAGGTTTTTCTCAGAGCACTCAGTTCACAGCTGCTTTCCATGCTACCATGGACAAAGTTGCTGATCTGTATTATAATCAATTGGTTTCTTTTGAACAAGGAAAAAGTTATAATAAAATTGGAACTAAAATTCATTTTTGGAAACTAATGCAGATTACTCTAAACTTGATATGCTCATTATGTAAATTAGTACTACTTATAAATGTAATATTAATAGTGAAATGGTGTGATCATGGTGATGGAGGAAAAAAATAAAGTAATCTCAGTAATGAAAGCTAAATTAGTTTTGATCCATTTTACTTTTAGGTTAGAACTGTATTGCAATGTTGATAATTACTTGAATAGGTGGAAATCGAAGTATAGAATCCTGATACTTGATGTCATCAACAGCTTTTAATGGGTTGTACTATTTACAGTTGCCATGCCTACAAATATATCTTGGAGTTTAGTCAGATGTAGAATATTTTGGCACATATTTTCAGCTATGTTCCAATTACCTGGACACTTTTTGTAGTTTCTTCGTCATGTAGCTTTTATCCCCCCATCATCATTTCTTTTCTTTTTCTCTTGGCTAAGCTGTATCGCTTGGCTAATCTTCACCTACATAGTTTCAAGTAGGTTTTGAGAGCTTTATGTTGTTGCAGTAACTTGCCATTTGCTAGAACTAATGAGAATGGCGATAGCTACAATAGTTGGGTTAAAAATATGTGCTTTAGGTATAATTTTGCTCCTCTCCTTTTAAAAGGAACAGGTTTTCATGGCTGTGAGGAACTGTTGTGAATTTCAAAAGTGGTTTGCTAAGTGGCATGCTAGTTTATTGTTTGAAAAACGTAACCTCAAAGTTCATTTGAGCTGCTTTGAATCCTTGACTTTCTTCTACAGGGCATCGTTAATCTAGAGGTAGTCAGTGGTGCACCATATATAACACTTTTAATATTATCATCATCATCTCAAAAATCCAGAGCTGAAAGGGACTCTATGGATCATTGAGTCCAGCCCCTGTCAGAGAGGCAGAGTGGGGAATTGAACTCTCTCAACCTCCGGCTCTGCAGCCAGGCACCTAAGCCACTGAGCCATATACTGGTGTAGGATATTGTTAGGGTTAGGGTTAGATGCTTGTACTACGTTTATCAAAATAGTGTCAAGATGCATTTGTAATTAGTGCTACTGTGATGTTTACTTAAAGAGATTATTGTGATTTTTTGAGTGTTGATAACTGATTATCATGGCTTTATAATTTTTATTAATGTTAATTATACGTATTCTGGCAATAACAAATTTCCTTGTCTCTGCATGGAAGAAATGAAAGCAGTGACAACATGAGGGTGTTCTTAGTATCAGAAGGAGTGTTTTATTTGGGAAGATTCATTCCATATGTGACTTTTAAACCACAACGATAGTATCAGTTTTGGAAAGATTGCCTGTTTTCAGAAGTACAGTTGGAACATATTTAAATATAAATGTGCCAGAAGATGTGGCCCATCATTGTCTAAATATGCTCTTTCTCTCCTCGTCAGCTGTTAGTCTGTGCTTAGAAATCATAAGGTTCTGCTTTTCATAATTCATGTATTCAGTCCAGAATAATTTTTTTAAAAATAATCTTTGTATGGAACATGTACCTGTTCATTAGTTACTTTGAAAATACAAGAAGAATGTGGGACTTTGGAGGAGAGAAAAAGAATATGGCTTTTGAAACTGGATATTGTTTTATATAAGTGAAGTTAAACCAAGAAACTAATTTGCATGCATTATGTAGTATTTTTAGAAATAAAGAGTTGCAGATTTTAAAACATTATTGTCTAATAATTTCTGAACTAGAAGTGGCTGTATTGCAGATAGATGTGAAGGAGACAATGGGCATGGATTTGTTATCAATAAACTATAATTCAGGAGAACAAAGTTATGCAAAATTATATAACAGTTTTGGAAGATAAGTTTCTGCTTTGTCATACAGAAAATTATGAGGTTGCATATGGTGGATGTTAACTATGACTACTAGCAAGGTATATATACACTAAGCCAGGGTGGTGAATCTTTCAAAATCCAGATATATTTGGACTACAATTCCCAAAATCCATAGTCTTTATTGCAAATGATAAAGGACTGTGGGAACTGTAGTCTAAAACATCTGGAGTGCTGGAGGTTCATCACCACTATCCTAAGCTGCAGTATGGAATCCCTTGGGCAGCGACACCCCCCTTTAGCTGATTCTCCTACTCTAGAAGCACCACTGGATTGTCTCTGCACAAATGAGGAAGAAACAGCAGTGTGGAAGAATTGTGCTGCTTTTTGAAAATAAAGCTACAGTAGATTTCTAATTAGAGAAGGTGTGGTCTAGTGGATAAAAATTAATTGATTGATTGATTGATTGATTAATTAATTAATTAATATGTATGTATGTATGTATGTATGTATGTATGTATGTATGTATGTATGTATGTATGTATGTATGTATGTATACTCTCTCACCAACAGCGAGGACCCTTTCTCATTTAAGACACCTGTAAGGACTAAAAGAAACACCTCCCCAGAGGGTCTTAAAATCCAGCCTACTTGAACATTTGTAACATGTAAAAATGAGATGGGTTCACTAGCTATCCCTGTTGGATTTCTTTATTTCTTTTCATTTATCTACACAATTCTGCTCTCAAAGAAACCCAGAACAGTGCAGAGCACACAAACAGTACATACAGCAACATATCTTTGGGTATGGTCCTGCTTTTTCAAGTAGCATCTGACATGTTGCTCAGTGCTCTATTGAGGATTGCATTTTACATTTCTTTAGGGTTTTTCTTTTAATCAGTGAAAAGCAAGGTGTATGTATTGCCTCCTTAGTTCTCAGTTAATGATAAACATCTCTCCTTTGACAAGTTGCAGTTGATATTTTGACTATGTAAGAAACATTTGATTTGCAGTGCTTAGCAGAAAGGGATGTGGATGGTGGTGTCTGCATGTGTGAATTGGATTCTGGATTGGATTCCTCACAAGCAGGTGGTTTTGTCATGGCTGATAACACAAGCCATCTGTACAATGCATGCTTGCAGCTTCATGCTGTTGTTGTTAGCATAAATTGTTGTTGAAGTATTAGCATAAATGAATGAAAATGTTCATTTCTGAAAATTAAAATTAGTATAACACCCCTGAAAGAAGCAGTAGAAGTACAGAATATTCTGCACAAAACTTTATACTCGTAGTGTGATGATTTTTCTTTTTCTCTCTGCTTAGTTGTTTGAGTTACTAGGACCTGAGGGATTTGAACTTATAGAGAAGCTCCTACAGAATAGATCTACAATTATAGAGAGATCTTTCTCTGGACCAGATGACAAGCTACAATCTTTGCAAGGTAAAGTATTAAATCACAATTTTACATAGTTGTTTAGAATCTCACGTAAGTCTTCAGGGCACCAACTGAAGAACAATTTGAGTTCTTGAACATCATGGAGTCTTGACACCAAACAAGTAGTACTACATGCTAACTACAGCATCCACCAGGTAAAAGTTTATTTAGCTTTAATTTGACTAACTTTGACTGTTCCTGGTGGTTTAACTAAATTCTTAATTCCAACTTGTGTTCTTTCATGTGTTGCTGGCTTGCTACCTTCAACGTCAATGTTTATTTGCCTTGCGGGCTGGGCTTTTGGTAGTTGGAGTCCCTTCTCTGGGACAAAGACAGGATATATATTATAAGAAAGTAATTAAGTGAATAACTAGGTAAATGAACAACTTTTTTTTTAAAGTAGCAAGTAGTCTAATGTGAAAAAAAAAGTTCAAGACTACTTTGGACCTTAATAATTTTGCTATGAATTAAAGTCACAACCAACCAGATCTACAGATAGCCGTACCTATTTCCATGTTGCAGAGCAGTGCAAGAGGTTTGCAGGAGAGAACACTAAACCCATTTATGGCTGCCAAGTCACAATTCAGTCTGAGCAAGAGAAACAGTTAATGAAACTGTATCGGCGTGAAGAAAAACGGAGTGCAAGGAAGGAAAAACGAACAGGGGATGATGGAGAAGTAGTTATAGATGGAGGAACATATTTTGATCCCAAGGAGCTACGGATGCAAAGGTAAGAAAATCCGTAGGTTGAAAATTTATATGCAGTGGTGGCTCGCTTAACGGGTGCTCCTTTTAACGACGAAATTGCATAGCGATGAAGATATTGCGATTGCTTTTGCGATCGCTTTGCGATGGTCTGAATGGTTTTTTTTCGCTTTGCAATGATCGGTTCCCTGTTTCGCTTACCGATCATCGCAAAGTGATGATTTTAAAACAGTTGATCGGCGGTTCCAAAATAGCCGCTGGGTCAAACAAATGGCTGCCTGCTGTGTTTAGAGACGGATTCCTCGCTTACCGGGCAGTGAAAATGGCCGCCGTATGGAGGATCTTCGCTTAAAGGTCAGTTTTAAGCCCATAGGAACGCATTGAAGGGGTTTCAATGCATTCCTATGGGCTTTTTAAAATCGCATAGCGACAAAATCGCGTAGCAGCGATTTTTGCTGCACCGATTAACGTCGCTATGTGAAGCACCACTGTATTTAAAATATTTTTACTACGTCTTTCTCTTTAAAAAAGATACAAGGTGGCGTACATCATTTAAAAGACAGTATTTAAAAGGTAAAAACAATGAGTATACAAATATTTCAAAAACAATTAAATATATTAAAAATGGTAAATAAAATCAATATTAAAAACACATTTAAAAACAACAAGGCATAACATTCCATCTAAAAACACCTCAGACAGTGAGTCACTAAGGGAAAGCTTGCCTGAAGTGAAAGCTCTTTGTCTGCTCATGAAAGGTCAGCAAGATGAGGCCAGTCTGGCTTCCTGTGGGAGGGAATTCCAAAGTCAGGGAGCAGCAACAGAGAAGGCCCTCTCCTTTGTCCCCACCAAATGCACCCGTGAAGGTAGCAGGACTGAGAGAAAGGCCTCCCCTGATGAGCTTAATACCTGGGCAGGTTTGTGAAGGGAGACAGAATCCTGGAGATAGCCTGCACCTAAGCTGCTTAGGGCTTTGTAGGTTAAAACCAGTGCAGTAGGGCTGCAGTATTTGTGGGGGGATTAGTTCCAAGCACCTCCCCCCCCACTGCAGATGTTGGAAAACAAGGAAGTATTGGACACTATACATTGCATGGTCTCTGGCTCCTTCTAGTGAACAGTTCTGGTAAACACACCCTGGAAATACATATAAAAGGGGGGGGGTGAATTAGCAGTGGTCTTACTACTTCTTCCTTTAAATATTCTGGAATCCTACCCTGTTTCAAGGAGACATTCATTACTACTACTACTCACTTGACCAGTTCCTTTCTGGTAGCTTTTATAAGCCAGGAAGTGCAAAGGCCCAATAAACTTTGCCTCACTAAGTGTCCTTTCCACATCATCAGGGTGCAAAAAATGGAAGCTTCTGCTCTAATGCAGTTGAAGCAATGGCCATTGTTACATTCACAGGATCAACTTCAGTATCAACAACAGTATCCAAATTAGAGCAAATCTGAGCAAATTTGCCTACAAAGCATCGTGCAATTTCTTCACAGGAAGTTACATTGCGGTCCATATTCTCTTTCTGTGGGCCATGTTATAATAGACCATGGACCACTAGAAAAAACTCTGCCAGATGACTCTGTTCAGATGTGATGGTGGCAGAGAAGGATCCCCTTTGCCACTACCACTTCCTGGAATAGGTATTTCAATGGGCTGTAGCCCCTGTTCAGTCGGATACACTACCAAATTTTCCTCCATCACTGCTCTAGTCTCCATCCCACTCATTTCATCATCACCAGCTTGCTCTAGTCTCCATCCCACTCATTTCACCATCACCAGCTTTCTGGTAAACCTGGGGGGGGCAGTTTGACTTTGTGGGAGGTGACACCTAGGAGCAGTTGTCTCAATAGCCTTGGCCATTTCCCCATTCCAGATGCTGTTATTGCCATCTTTATAGTTTTTAGTTTAGTTTGGTTATCAGATGAATAATCTGGTTTTATTTTTAATAACCGCAGAGAACAAGCGCTTTCGAATGCTCGCACAATGCCTGTCTTAGGCAGACAGCGAGATACGGAATTTGAAAAAATACATTACCCACATGTCTATGACTCACAGGCTGAAGCCAGGAAAACCTCAGCATTCATTGGAGGATCGAAGGTATGTTTTGGGTGTCTCTTTCCCACTAATATGTGTGAGCATGGAATTGTTTTAAAACAGTTTTCAGACTTTTTTTTTCATTCTGAAGATGCAATATTTTTTCTTCCCATTGATTTAACATTACTTCCCCCCATATGATGAATCTTTGCATATTGGGCTGGTTATCTTGTCCACGAAAGCTCATATTAGAATATAATCTTTAAGCTGCCACATGTTTTTATCTTTTTTTTTGTTTTGTTTCTTTGGATTTTGCCTGATATAGGTTATCTCAATGACATTTATTAGTCTCTAGCTGTAGAGACATCTAAGTGAATCTTGCTGTTAGCTCCACTGAAGTACTTTTGAAGCCTTAGCAGCCTTTGCCATATTCAGTTGTTTTCTTGGAAGATTTAAAGTAGAGCAATTTCCTTACCATGGTTGGTGAAATTATAAATTAGTGGACAAGTTATTAGTTCAGAGTAGTTTTTGGGAGCTGTCAAGATAAGGTTGGGAATTAGGTCATTCCCCTGGTTTTATTTTATTGTGCAAACCATATTTAAAATATCAGGTGTGTTTCTTAGTTTAACTATTATTTATTTATTACTTCATTATTATTTCATTTCATTTATAAATTACCTTTCTCCCTATTCAGGGGCCCAAAGCTGGGTATGGGGGGGGGAACACAGCTTGGATTCCTAAATTATTATATATTATATATTGAAAATGTACTTATGCATGCAGTTGTATTAAAAGAGAATGTGGAAATAGCAATAAAACACACATCATGCTTTTTTTAAAAAAAATGCGGTATCCTCCATTTAAAAATCTTTTCTGTTTAGACTGTTAAGTTACCAAAAGTTTGCTTGAAGCGGATGGTGTTTGCCTTCCAGTGGAGAAGACTGTAAGGGAACCTCTCATGGTTGTAGGTTCCATGGTCCTTGAGAAGGCCTTCTTTCCTCACCACATGTGTCTGCAAGAGTATTGGACCAAGAGAAGAGCTTCCCCTGAAGATCTTAAAACCTGGGGAGGCCTTTAATGAGGAGATTTAGTCTTTTAGATAGGAAAGACTTGTAAAAAAAATTATGTAACTTTAGAGTGAATTGGAGGGGAAATGAATGCTGTTGTAAAATTTGTTTGTTCATTTCTTCCTTTATATGCTGTTTTTCTTTCCAAAGAGGCCTAGAATGGCTCATAACACAAGAACAATACATATAGCAATAAAATTCTCCACATAAATGATGGAATAAAACATAGCAGTAACATAGACATTAACATATAAAAATGCATGCCCCATAAGTGGTGGAAAAGCATTTCCTTGCCTCTGAAACCCTGCTGAAACAACTCTGCCTTACATACTCTCTTGAATCCTGGCAGGGATGTCATATTTTGCAGAGGCTCAGGAAGAAAATACCAGAGTATGGAAGAATCTTTTTTAAATATCCTCAGGCCAGACTGCTTGGATGCTTGGCACCTTTAGAGGGGCACTTCTGGATGACCTTAGTTGAGGCAGGGACTCAGATGGGTAGTAGTAGTCTGATAAGCAGGTGGATCCCAAGCCATATAAGATATTAGAAGTGATAGCCAACATCTTGAATTGAACCTGAAAAACCACTGGCAACCAGTGCAGCTGATGCAAAATGGGTATCATATCACAACTAGAAGCATTCATTCATAGCCTAGCTGCTGTGTGTTGTACAAGTTGGAGTTTCCAAGTTGTTTCCAAGGTTATCCCCACATAGAGCAAATTGGTCTATGTGGTCTAAATTCGAGGTTACAGTTTCATGGATTGATGTGACTACATGGGCCTTCTCTAAGGAAGAAAGTTTCTGGACCAGGGATAGAGGATGAAACACTGACCTGGCCACAGTTCTTACTTGTTTCCCCGAGAGGAGCATTGGCTCTAACTAGATACCTAGACTCCTTACCTGGTTCACAGGGGGGGATACAGGTGGTTTATAATGTTGTTTTTCATTGTGGCTAAACAATCATTTTGAGAAATTACAGAAGCACATATCAGCATTTGAAAAATTGGTATTGCTGTTGAAAGCTCTCCCTTTTTGAACCCGTACCTTTGTTTTTGTTGGACCAATATGCCTTTTAATACATTAAAATGAACAATTCATAATCAAATCTTCTTGTTCCTAACAAAAAGATATTTATTCTGTTGTTTAAGTGAACTTGTTGTTACAACCCGAATGCAAGTGTCAAAATGAATTGTGTGGTAACAGATGGATATTTTTACAGTTTACCTGTATGATTTTCCACACCCTTTTCTGGACTACTGTGAGTCAGAGGGGATTTGGTGAGTCAACTCCTCTGTAGGTTTTACTGATTCAAATGACTCTTCTCTAGTTCTGACTTACTTTAGCATTCAGTCATCGGAACTTACAGAAGAATTGACTCACTAAATTCCCATTCATTCAATGGGCCTATTCTAGTGTGATTTACTATGCTATGCATCAGGATTCTGGCCTCTGTTTAAGCTGTCTTTTACCTGTTTCTGCAGCAGTTTCAATCTGTTGTGTAATTGTTTTGTTATTGATAACATCTTTCTACCTTTTTCCCCCTCATAATTTTCACAGATGCTTCTGCCAGAAGGCATTGAGAGAGAAAGTAATAAAATGTATGAAGAAATACAGATCCCTCACACTGAACCAATGCCTGTTGGTTTTGAAGAAAAAACAGTCTATATTAAGGATTTAGATGAGGTGAGGAAATTAAAATTTAATTCCTGCTATAGAATAGATAATTTTTTGGTCTGCAGTGCTGCTGTTGAAGCAGTGCTGTGTCTGTGTGTTTCTAGTAGGCATCCTTCAGTCTCAAGAGATTGTGGTAACATGCTCTGAATAGAGGTCTTGGAACAGCGTCTAGGCCAATTTGAGAATGGCAATCTCTTCCACACTGAAGACAAATACAATCTGTCCCCTGTCCAGCTCCCTGATTTTGCTGGGTTCGGGACTACCTCTTTGCTTTGGCCTGCTGAACAAGTGTCTCTTCAAATTGGGAGAGGCCGTGATGCAATGCCTGCCTCCAGGCTGAACGCTCAGATGTGAAGGTTTCCCATCTGTTGAGGTCCGTTATAAGGCCTTAAGATCCTGCTTGCAGATATCGTTCTATCGCAGCTGCAGTCTCCCTCTGGGATGCTTTCCCTGCACGAATTCTCCATATAGGAGATCTTTTGGAATCTGACCGTCAGCCATTCTCACAACATGTCCGAGCTAGCATAGACATTGCTGTTTCAGTAATGTATACATGCTAAATATTCCAGCTAGTTCTGTGATTACTCTATTTTGAACTTTGTCCTGCCAGGTGATACCAAAAATGTGTCGGAGTGCTGCTGTTGAAGCAGTGCTATGTCTGCGTGCTTAAGAAAAGGAAAATTACATTTTAATAATATTTATTGTTGTTGTTTAGTCATTAAGTCATGACCAACTCTTTGTGACCCCATGGACCAGAGCACGCCAGGGCCTCCTGTCTTCCATTGCCTCCCGGAGTTGGGTCAAATTCATGTTGCTTTCTTCGATGACACTGTTCAATATTTATATGTAGTTTTATAGGGTTTGATCCCAGAGTTGTTTTTTACAAGTAAAGCGGCAAGTCAGTCTCTCATCCTTCTGTAGTCCTCTTAGATGTTCCATTTGCAGTAGCAAATGTGCAAGAGATGCAGTTAGAGTCAGTAGAGAAAAAAGTCCTAATGTATAACTGAAACTTCAGGGACTAAACTATAGTGCACTTGATGTGTGTGAAATTTTGAAAAGCAAGATAAGCAAAACAAACAAATAGATGGATAAAATGACAAATCCTACCACAGTCTGTGGTGGGGAAATGGCAGAAGCATTCTTAGGTGAATCATATTCAAGGCCTGGAACCAACAATCTATTGGTGCTTAATGCCAATTGGACCAAACATTTTCTCTTTATCACCATCAGCAGTCTGTGCTGCCTAAAAATTGGTCCCAGGGTTTTTAGTGCCCCACTCATGTTGGTTTTGAGGTGTAGGGTCAGGTTTCAGAGGAGTGAGAATATATCCTGATTCTTTTTGTAGAAGGAGACCTGCCAACAGAACCATATACAGTGGTGCCTTGCATAACAATGTTAATTGGTTCCATTAAAAACATCGTTATGTGAAAACATCGTTAAGTGAAACACCATTTCCCATAGGAATGCATTGAAAACCGGTTAATCCGTTCCAATAGGAGCCTATTCAATACATTTCAATGGTGAAAAAAAATCACCAAAAATTCAAAAAGACTCAGAACGAAGCCAAATTACTTTAACGAATGTATTATTAGGTGCACTAAGGATTCCAAGCATTGTAAACATTTTTTAAACATCTTAGAATATTTTTAAAATAGCGAAAACAGGGCTGTCGAAAAAAACCTTAAGCGAAACAGGGGACCTAAAACTGTCATCGTTAAGTGAAGCAAGGTCCCAAACATCGTTATGTGAAAATCCCCCATAGGAAACATCGTTAGGTGAGGTGGCAAAATTTCCAGCAAAGGCCATCATTATGCGAATACATCGTTGAGCGAGGCACTCGTTAAGCGAGGCACCACTGTACTTCAATTTTAACCTGTTGATAACAGAAATGGCTAAAATGGTATTGCTAGTCTGAAGGAGAATAGATTTGTTGTTGAAGCAATTATTGAATGGCGAGTCAACATCTGTATAGACCCCATTCATGCATCTCTTCAATTTGGCATCACTAATAAGATTCTGGTACAGGAATATATGAAATCTTTACCAAAGCTAAGTGTGATCCTTTAACTGTAATACAATGGATGGATGGCATGCTACCATTAATAGGACTTGCTTCTGAGCAGATAGACATAGAATTTAGTTGCTTCTGTGTCTAGAGACCAAATTTAGTATGTTTTCCTTAGAGGGGAAATTACCATGTTATTTCTTCACTTACACAAGTCACATGAATGATCTTCTGAATGTATCAGTATCTCTCCTAGAACCTGACCAACAGGGTAGATGTAGGAAGTAATTTTTAATGGGGATAAGTTTATTTTAGTTGTGAACTTGATGAAGGAGTTAGGCCAGGGCTAGAAAACATCTGGAACAGGAGTTTGCATTCTCAGATTTCTGACTGAGCTGCAGTACTTTTCTCTTCTGGGATGTTCTTGTTTCCTCTGCAGTTCATGGGCTTATTATGGAAGTGTAGAAATTGTAAAATAGCAAGTTGTTTAATGTAAGTTATTTCTAACCCTAGTTTACCAGCAACTTTGAACAGTTGGCATCAACCAGGCAAAATTCAACATAAGGTCACTACACTTTAAACCTTATTAGGCCTTCAGAGCTGTTTATTGTGTCTAGATTGTATCCAAATAAGGATAAATGAGCGCTTAGAAACAGAGGTTTTTTTAATATATAAAAAATTTACCCTGGCAGACAGTGTTACTCAGGTTCTCGAATCCAAGGGTACACTGGGCTAAAAGGTCTGTGTATTGACCTACAGATATATTGCCTGTGGACTGTTCTACTAATATGTAGAACAGTCCACGTGTCTCATGTAGTTTTTACTTGGGCAGATTTTGCCTGCTCAGAGGCCTTTGAGCCTTAGTTTGCCTTAATTTTGACAGAATCTTTGGTCTTTACAATGGGTTAAGTTACTCCTGGGAGATTCTACACCTCCCTTTCCCTTTTGACTCTTTTTTTTTAACAAAGAGGTAGGTTTTCCTAGTCATTTGTGGCCTGTGGACTAAAGCGAACTTTGCTTTCTGAGTGAACTCTGAAAGGCTAACTATAACTATGTTTGCATGTTATAATTTCATCTGATACTTTTAATTCAGATTTTTCTGAACTTCTTGGATTTTTAAAAAAATTAGTTTTTTTTAGTTTTTATTTCATTACTGTATTATTTTAGAAATTAATTGATTTTTCTCTTTATTTCTTTTATGTTATGCTTCCCTTTCATGTATAATATTCTGTGTTTATCTGCTGTGATTTGAATAAATCTTCAACTTTAACTGCACCTATGAATAACCTCAGATCATCTGTGGTTACACCCTCTTGCTCACTAGGACAAATACTGAGCCTCATTTTTAGGCAGAAACAGGAAATCTTTATGAAATGGCTCTGAAGCCAAAGAAGGTGCATTATTGTACTTCTTCTGACATGGTTTTCAGTGAAACACTCTGTTGTAAAATGGTAGCTGGAATGTTTGAGTCTTTTGAGAATGCAAGGAAGACTGCATAATTTAACCAAGAACATATGTTGCTAAAAGTGTGACTTCCAACTATTAAAACTGTAATTAAAACATGGGGGGGGGCTGTCACTTTGAGTACATTAAACCAGTGCACCTTTATGAAGCTAGGACAACACATGTATATCTTTGCTCCATTGCCTATGTATATTTCAATCCCTTGTTGTTGCAGTTTTGCTGACTACTGCTATCATGAATTCTCAATGTAGATTACATTCCTAACTTCCATGTTGGAGGACATGGTAATCAAATGCCCAAACTCTGAATGCAGCAATGCAGTACAGTACCAGAAATCTTTCCTTTTGTGCATGCTCTTCTTAAGCTTGGAGTAATAGTAAAGCCAGCTTCTATATGTGCAAGGCTTTGGAGTTGGCTTTTGAGTACAGTGGTGCCCCGCATGACGACAACCCCTCTAAATGATGAATCCGCTGGATGATGACTTTTTGCGATCGCTATAGCGATCGCAAAACAATGTTTCCTACGGGGGATTTTCGTTTGATGATGATTAGGTCTGTGCTTCACGAACCGTTTGTTCGCAAGACGACGGTTTTTCCGGCTCCACAAAATGGCTGCCCTATGTTTTCTGGACCCATGCTTCGCAGGGCACCCATTTTAACAGCTGATCGGCGCTCAGAAAATGGCTTCCCTATGGGCCATTTTCGCTGGGTGAAGAGGTAATTTCCCCATTGAAACACATTAAATGCGTTTCAGTGCATTCCATTGGGGAAACTTTTTACTGGACGATGTTTTTTGCTTAACAGCGATTTCAGGGGAATGCATTATCGTTGTGGTGCGGGGCACCACTGTATTTGTATTAAGACGAATGCTAGAAGCTATGGGTAAAGGCCTTTCAAATGAACCTTGTTCATTCAGTCATTCATTCATTAAATTTGTATGCTGTCCATCTGACCTATGGTCTCTCTGTGAGGTTCACAACGCAATAAAATATAAACATAATATAGCAAAGTGCTCCAAATTAACTTAAATAATAAAAATATAAATAATTGAAAATTAAAAATTAAAAACGGTTTAAAATAGGTCAGACAAGTGTTAATAAACATGAAGGCTGATACTCTCATAGGATCTTAAATTGGCTGATTCTCATAAGCCTGCTGGAAGAAAAATGTTTTAAGAACTTTCTTTAAAAAATTAAGGAGAGAGCAAGGTGAATTTCTGGTAGGTTTAGTGGTGCTGCAGATGAGGTATGACCACCAAAGAGGCCTGGTTTCTTGTTCATTCCCTTCGGGCCTCCCTCAGGGTCAGTGCCCTCAGTTGACTTGCCTGAGAAAAGTGAATAGGACAGGCAATCCGTGTTGGGAGTAGACATTCTGCCATGTACCAAGGTCCCAAACTGTTCAGGGCTTTATAGGTCAGAACCATCACCTTGAAGCTGATACGGAAGGTAACCAATGCAAGGAGATCAAGGTTGGGCAGATTTGATGGTACTTATTTAGTCCTTTCAAAAAGGATAGTCTAACACAACTCCTTTCCCTCTCTT